TGCACTCACAAAATTGGTTGGTAAATTCAACGAGTGGGTGCATCGACCTGGTATATCAAGTTTCTGCAATTTTTTACGGCAAATCAGTAGATTTTCGGGATGTAGATTGCTTACTTTCAATTCATGAATGAATAAAGCAACGACATGGTTGAACTTCTTTGCATGGAAAGACGTTTAAAATAACAAAATCAAGACGTATTTAATGCAATTGCATTTATATCGAGTCAATTTCTTTTCAATAATATAACGGGATTTTTACTACCGGTGATTTGGGTATTTTAGCCCCAAAATACCTTTAAATCGACTTTATCTTCTAGGAGTTCGACAGAATTTTTCCTTTCTTCGCTTAAATTATTCCGTAGCACTTTTCTTCAAGAATCTGATAAGATTTTGCTTGAGGCAGATCAAAAAACTTAAATTCGATCGAATAGCTTTCTACTTTCACAATACACGGTCTCGTCAAGGTGCGTCTTTGACCTCGCAGTGTTGGATCGTGAATTCTCTTTTTATGCTGTTTGCCTATTTTGAAATCTCTGTAAATGAAAACTAAAGGGGTTGATATGTGCGAGTTAATGACGCGCCTTATCAACACATTGTGTTGGAGTTCACTGCTTGTTTTTTTATACCTATACATTTAAAAAAAATGCAAAATTTGCCGCCTCCTAAATTTGCCGCCATGGGCAGCGGCCCACGTAACCACCCTCTAAATCCGGCCCTGGATAGGCCAAAGATTTTACAGGGTGTCGCAAAAGTCCGTACTCCCCCCCCCTTGTAACTTTTTAACGGTTAGAGATGGAAAAACGAAACTTTAAGAATGTTTCTATCTCAAAGGGGACCATCTTCTGGGGGGTTCAGAATTTTTTCTCCTCCCTTTAGGGGGGAGGAGGCGGGCGGGGGTCCCAAACTTTTTTTTTCAATGGTAACCCCAACCTTGTGATACATCATTGGAAAGAACATAAAAAACTAAGAACTTTTGTGCATACCGCAAATCAATATCTTGATTTTTGACAGAGTTATGATAGGTCAAAGGTCAAATTTGATCTATTTTCAAAAAATTTTAACTCCGGTTCAAATTATCGTAAAGAAAAAAATAAGACAGGAATATTTACCAAATTGTAAGCACTTGTAAGTAAAAATCACAGAAATCACTGCAAAATAATTTTAAGGGGGGGGGGGGGTTCGGACCCCTAAATACGTCAGTTCAAAGTTCATACGATTTTTCCGCGAAATGAGACAAGTTTCCCTAACTTTGCCTCAACATTATCTCGGTAAGTTCAAAATTAGTTCAATATCGCGTCTCGAGTCCCCAAATTTCTGGCAAAGTTAAAAAAAAGAGCGACGCCAAGAATGGCACAATTTGGGCCAGAAGGGATTTTTCTGAAACCGGGCCCAAACGATACCTTATGATACCCTAAAACTCTGGTTAAAATTTTAGCTTGAGTATACGCACGGTTTTTGAGAAATGAGGGGGCAAAGTTGCCAAATCGCCATCATTCTGGAAAGCATTTCTACAGCAAAAAGAAGGGAAAAATGGACAAAAAAGTTAAAACTTTGATGGGTTTCGGCTGTAAATGTTCTTATTGGGCCCCCAAACATTTAACTGTGTTCAGTTTCAAACATTTTGATCGCACAGTGGTCCAAAGTGAGGAGAAATCGTCGACAAATCATGATTCTCTGTCAAATTTTTAAAAATGGAAATAAAATTGTCGGTCTGCTGCAGTTTTCATGGCTAACGGTGTTCTTATCGGTCCTCAATGCATGAAATTGTGTTCAGCTTCACAAATTTACATCGCACAGTGGTCAAAAATGAGGGAATTAGTGGACAAATTAAGATCCTCTATGAAACTTTTTAAAAATGAAGTGAAACTGTTGGTCCTCAGTAGAGTTTAGATCCCGGAAAAATTCATGTATTTAATTTTCTTAATTATTACTGCATGTCAGACCGTATTGTCTATAGAACGTTGTTATAGAATAGAATTTGTAGCATTATCTCAATAAAATATGCAAACTTTCAGAAATTTAAGAAAAAAGAAGGAAAAATGGAGAGAAAAAATTAAAAAATGATTTAAACAGTCCAAAAAATAATATAAAGAATTTTTCCGGGATCTAAACTCTACTGGGGACCAACAGTTTCACTTCATTTTTAAAAAGTTTCATAGAGGATCTTAATTTGTCCACTAATTCCCTCATTTTTGACCACTGTGCGATGTAAATTTGTGAAGCTGAACACAATTTCATGCATTGAGGACCGATAAGAACACCGTTAGCCATGAAAACTGCAGCAGACCGACAATTTTATTTCCATTTTTAAAAATTTGACAGAGAATCATGATTTGTCGACGATTTCTCCTCACTTTGGACCACTGTGCGATCAAAATAATTGAAACTGAACATAGTTAAATGTTTGTTGGCCCAATAAGAACATTTACAGCCGAAACCCATCAAAGGTGTAACTTTTTCGTCCATTTTTCCCGTCTTTTTGCTGTAGAAATGCTGTCCAGAATGATGGCGATTTGGCAACTTTGCCCCCTCATTTCTCAAAAACCGTGCGTATACTCCAGCTAAAATTTTTACCAGAGTTTTAGGGTATCATAAGGTATCGTTTGGGCCCGGTTTCAGAAAAATCCCTTCTGGCCCAAATTGTGCCAAAAAACGGTCGTTTTTGGCGTCGCTCTTTAATTTAAACGGTCAAATCGAACCACCTTAATGTTTTTTTTTTTTTTTTTTTTTTTTTTTTTTTTTTTTTAACTTTGCCCGCGATTTGGGCCACTTTTAAGCATTTTCCAGGTCCTGAATTTCGAGACTCCTGTATGACGCCGGGTCACTTTTTCGATGCATTATCGATTGTTTTCCATACACGGGTACCCGGCCATCCGATGTAAACAAAGAAGATAGGAATTGCCGCGTATTCCACACCGCCATTTTGGATCGAACATGTATCGAGAAAGTGATAGAGGCTCAGCGCGCACCGGGCTTGGAATTCGTCGACCAGAACAGCGCCAGCTCTCCCATTCACATTACGACTCCATGTACTCTATGTATTAAAGGTACGTACCGTGGATAAAAGGAAAAATATAAAAGAAACATATAAAACCACATTTATTAGGAATAGTATAGTTTAATGAAATAAAATATAAAATTAAATATCTTTAAGGAATAACGAAACTTAGCTCATTAACAACTGAATAATGAAATACAATCTGGAAAAAAATAACTTCGTACAGTTCTCCAAGAGCCGATTTGAATTGCGTGGATGATGGTAAAAAAATTGAAAACTCGAGATCATTAAGTGGCACTCCCAACCCCCTCTCCCGCCTTGACTTATCCACAGATGGTAGATTTCTTAAAATTTTATCAACCGAATTTTCATTATTAAAGTTCATGAAAATTAATTGATGGTGTGCGACCACGGCTTGTAGACGTCGACGAATGGAGGTGCGACGGAATGTTGCGTTTTTGCCGACAACGCCTGAATCACTTGCTGGGTGCGCAAGCTCAAAGACGGACTGCGTGTTGAAATTGTTGCATACACCGGAAAACGGAGGCGCTTTGCGTCTTTGCGCACAACTAAGCGCTCGGTGACTCAGTTCAGCCTGTTTTATAAGGGCCGAGTTTTATATGGAACGATGGAAATTGTCCCTAATTTTACCTTTCATCAACTTTCTTACTAATTGGCCTGACCTGTCAGGCCTTCCTCAACAGGCACCATCGATGAAAAACCCACGAGGTACCCTGGACAGCTTACGTATATTTCTGTTAAACCCATCACTGTTGATTTAATTAGTCTACGAGTATTAGTCATTTCTCAGAGAATTTGCAAATTTGATTAATTAAAGTATTATCATCAGTTAACAGACACATTTAGTTTTCCTCCTAATGGGTTAAAATTGCACTATTGTTGGTTTTGTCTTTCCCTCTTTGAGTAAGAAGTGAGAGAGGGAGAGAGAAGAAGAAACATCATAGAAAAAAGCGTAATGCTAGCACCTTGGTCAACCTTAAAGTAATACTGGGAATGTTTTGCGATATTGAAATCCGATTACGTCATCTAAATGAAAAAATAGAAAGAAATTACCCTAAGTTTCGGTTAAACGCACAAACTTTGGAGCATGAGATAGACATGAAAAAAATCAAAATAAATAAACATCATCGCGGAAAATATGTTTGGAAAAGAAATCTGATACAATGGCGGCACATGTGAATCCAAACTAAAATAATTGGTGGAGGATGTTGAACTCATGAGTCGGAGACCTGGTGTATCATAACGTACCTCCCCTCACGAGGCAGCGTAAAAAATTTATATTTTTAAGTATCCCAGCATTCTGACTCAAATGAGCCAGTGGCGAGGCGTGAATGATCGATCATCGACATTTCTCAGTTTGAAGCTACGGTAAAAGAGCGATTATTGAGGTGTTCGTTGTGAACACCCTGATTATCGATAGATATACCTACGATAAAGCACGCCCCGCCACTGAAATGAGCGTATTTATTTGTACTGGTTTAGCAATTAGTTATGGTATAAAATATAATGATTTATTAATCGAGTCATCAGATTAAAGGGGGAGAGATAGATTTCGTGGTGAGTATTCTGAAAAATAGTTATTCGTGATTGAATCAGGAAAAATGAGCCAGGGCAGAAAAGTGGGAGAGAAAAGAAGATTTTATCACAGCTTGAGAGGATTAATGCAAAATGCAGTCCAATTTATGTTGATGTCACATATTGACACGTCTTACCGTTCAATTTTCATCGGTGCCAATCGACTTGGACAACATTTTACGATTAGGAACTACAATTTCTGGGTTATCCGTAAGAAACATTTTTGCCCATAGGGAAACTAACGGTGCATACGTTGTTTATGGACCGAGCCCGAAATCGTAGTTCCTAATTGCAAAATGTAGCGCACTTTTCCGGTTATAACTACTGAACAGAAGAGTTGCTACCTTGAGACACATTTTTCCTGACTCCATCAAATTTGACTAAAACATGATTTAATGTAGTGGCGATTTCAGCAAATTGGAACCCTGTTGATACGCCATTTAAATTCATTGAATACATCGATTCTAGGTGAGACAGGCTGCCTCACCTGAAATCGATTGTTTAACATAAATTCGAATAGAGAAGAAACAGTGTTGTCAAGTTGGAGTAATAATGGCCACTGCAGACTTAATGGGAACTTAGTGTCTGGATGAGCCCCGATGACTGCTCATGTACGGATCCTCGAGGTACTTCTCGGTTTTGTAGCGAATTTCCGAAGGCGTGGAGGGGTGAGGAACTGGGGTTGTTGAGTTGGGAGTTGCTCCGAAGCTTTTCTGCCAGTGGTGAGTCCAGTAGTGATCTTGTGCCGCCACTTGCTTCGGTGTCCTAGCGTCTCGAAAGACGTACACGCAATAAATTAAACTACCCATAAGTGTTAAGAAACCAAACCCTAAGAAGATGATACCTAGAATCCTGAAACAGATAAAACGCTCGTCGTTAGTTACTACTTTAGTGGCGATCCTTCAAAGTCAGCCACGCTTTTTTTCCCTTCCATTTATAAATGTGTATAAAACAATCGATTTTTGGCGAAATCGAGAAAATCGACAAATCCATCAAAATCCATTTTTTGATAGATTCAAATGGAGGAACAACAAAGTCGCCACCTTGCAAAGTCGCCACTATACTACCCCAATAATCCCATGCTACGGAAGTGCGCCGCATGAGCCCCGTCAGACGTTTCCATATTTCCTTCGATAAAAACCGAATTTACTGGAAAAACGTGAATATTTTTCTTCAAATTTTTCAAGCAATCTTGTTCGAAATTCCATCTAAAATTTCTGAAAATTTCAAGGCGAACAATGCATAAATTCTTCGAAAATACTTGTTTGATCGAAGAAAGATTAGCAACCCTCGAAGTTTCACACGCCTTCCTTCTCTGACAGGGGAGAGTATGTATTTTATGCAACATACATTATATGTGATTCCAATATGGATTAGTTCAGTTCAGGTATTATTTTTAATTGTTACCTAAATCTTCGAAAAGTAGAGGGTACACACAATTCACAGGAATTTTCTCCGATTTTTTGAACAATTTTAATCTACGAAGACAAGTTTAAAAGTTGCGTATTTGGAGCTTTTATTTGGGCGCGCATCACCAAGAAAGCCAACATAGCGTCGGAAAATATCCATACTTAATCGATTAATGTACGAATCATAAATGGCAGCAAAGCAGTCGTTCGGTCGAAAGGGTTCCCGTACGTAGTAGTGGGACGGCGGATGTTTTCGGACGCCACAGTGGTTTTCTCGGCGATGTGTGTTTAAATGTGAGTTCATGATTTCAACACACGCAACCCCGTGTGCGCAGATTGCAATTAACGCATGGCCCTTCCTGGAAAAGCGATGGCCAAGGAACACCCAGAAAATTGCTAAGCTATGCGTATGGCTCCGAGAAGACTGTTATGGAACATGAGTCAAGATGAAAATTTAAGCATTACGATACAGTTTTTCTCCACAAACTTCCTCGCAGAACACGATTCTCATTACTTCCAAAAAATTCAATTTTGTAAAATTATTCAGTTCCGTAGCGCTACTTTAGAGGCCCACTGAGAGCCGACCGGCCGCTCAGTGGGCCTGTGCGGAGCTGTAATTTTAAAAAAGTCCAAGTTAGAGTTCCAAGTCTCCTGAATTACATGAAATTTTGATGAAAAAATACATATCATAATGCTTTAATTTGCACCTTGCCCTCTAGTGATCCATTGTGCACATCGATGGCCAAAGTGCGAAACCATGCACATATCGTAGTTTCGCATGAGCCCCAGAAAGCATGGACTTCTATGTAAAATGGACGTATATTTCTATCAAACGGAACTATGTGCATTGTGACGCGAGCCCTGTAATACATGTATTCTTATGGGTCTCAAGGCTCATGTCTTAATGCACATAGTTCCGTTTGACAGAATGAGCTTGTTCAGCAATTCGTAATTCTTGCATTTTTGGAAACTAGAGAGTGCACAGAGTTCACAGGAATTTTCCCCGATTTTTTTGAGCAATATTAACCCACGAAATACGAGTCCAAAAGTCCGTATTTTGTGCTCCCATTTAAACGCGCGCCGCTTGGCCCATCTCAAAATGGCGCCCATTATCTCCGTCCGGCGGTAGAGTCCCTTTATACCCAGAGTTAAGACAACTCGATTATCAGCTGACTGGCAGCCGGCCTTGGCTGGCCATGGAGGCCGAAACGAGTGCACCCAAACGAACGATATTGAGGGATAAGGATCAGGAATCCTGCGATGTCTGTCACACAAAAACAACAACATCAACAAATTGATCAATTAAAAAGAAAATGAGATTGGTTTGTGAATAATTTCTTAATCTATTTTCATTTTAGACCGATGGAAATAACAATTTACTCTTGATAAACCACAATTAGGTGATATTTTCATTATTCTTGTTCACATTCGAGGTACCGCCATCTTGGTGCACTCGTTTCGGCCTCCATGAGCGAGAACCAATCAGAATTGGATTTTTTTTTAGGCCACTTTCAGCCGAACCAAAAGTGAGTTGTCTTAACTCTGGGTATAAAGGGACTCTATCCGGCGGTGGCCACACTTTTGACCTGGCGTGCCGGCGGGGTACCTCTGCATGCCTCTGCCGTGTGTGGGTCGTGTAATTGTGTAAACAAACGAAGATTGATAACACAAATGATCCAAACAACTCGAAATCTCTTAATTTTAATTAATTTAAATCCATTTTCGACTTCAACCAAGCATTTGGCAATAATATTCATCGTATTTTACAACCAGGAGCCACGGCCTATCGGCTCATTTTAAGGTGCATTCTGAAAATCAGTCTTACAAGTCCAGTGTCCAAATCCAGACTTCCTTCTTTTACTTTTTTTTGACCATCCTCTTTTCATTTTCGCTTCAAATCAAATGTTTTGCAGTTTCTTTGTCTTAAGTATGTGGTCCTGAATTCATTCAAGAGTTAGAAGTTCACCATTTATTTAGTATTATAAGCCTTTTGACCTCTCAAGCTTTACCGATATGATCTCATGTAGTTCAAGGTTTCTTTGGCCCAAACCAAGTGATTACACATCTGATGTGTGTCTCATGGCTCTTCAAATTCGCAGTTTAGAACTAAATCAGAGACTACAGTTACATAATCCAGTTCTGCTCTCTTGTTCAATGTTTTTCAAAGTGTTTGTTCGTGTCTGTTCTTTATAAGTGACCACTGTAGTGCATATACACAGTTA